GAACCAGTTTGCAGCCAGCTCACTGCCATATTCTCCAGAAACTAAGGTATTCAAGACATGCAAAAGAACTAATAGTGAAATAATTATTTTTATAGCAGAGAGAAAAAGTGGAGATAAAATGGATAGCAACATATCCATTGTTTATTATTTTTTCAGAAATAAACCTTTGAATCAATCCACATAGTTTAAAGGAAGAATTGTGTGAAATTAAATGTTGGAATCTTTTTCCACCTTTGAGATTAATATTTAGGGTGACATCATTGTGATTATCTGTTATTTCCCTATGCAAATAGAAATCTTTATTTCAGTAGTAGTAGCAGTCAGCAATGAATCCCTCCCATGCCAAGGAGAAGTGGGAGATTAGCTAGAAAAGATGGTCAGTCACTAGGCTAATGATCAAGTTACTTGTGATTTTTCTCTGTCCTCTCCTTATTCCTCAAAATCAGTCTAATTTTCCTTGGTTATTTTCCACAAAGACAAAGCTATGACTTTGTTTCATTGATTTTTGTCTCTCAGACTACACGGAGCAAACAGCCTCATGTAAAATAAAAGCATAACTTTAAAGAATTGAATATAGTGTAATGGGAAAAAAAATTGATTACCTACAGAAGGTAGAAGCAGACAATGTCAAAGTTGCATTATATGTGGTGATAGTCATGTTAATCTTATTATTTTATTAACACTGTCTATATTCCAGCATAATATGTCAAAGTTCTTGGCAGAAGACATTAAATGGTGGTAGATCAAAGTTGTTTTGGCTTTGGTTTTGAAAAATGCAGTAGAGCTAAAGAAACATGGTTGGATAACAGCATAGCATATTTTTCTACAACCCAGGCAAATTGTTCTTTCTGTGTGGGAATCATTAAGATGCTGAACTAATAATGTTCACTCTTTTCTTTAGACATTTTATTCCAAGAGAAGCTGTGGTTTTGTACTGTGCTCTGCTGTGTGCAATGCAACATGTAGATCAATGCAGGTATCAGACATCACTTTGAGAGAGACTGTTCAATGCTTTAAAAATGAGAACATCCACTGCTGATTTTAAGAAGTCACTAACAAATATTTAATTAAGAAATAGAAATTATGAATTATCATGTCTATAAGATGTAATTTTTTGATAGTTTTGACCTTCAAGGAAAAACATTTCTTGCATTGCGAGAATATAAACATTTTATGTTTTCATCCAAAATGGAAATTCATGCATACAGTCCTTGAAATTCCACAGCTAAAATTTAAATATATGCCATAACTATAATATTTAAAGGTAACATATGCTGATGTAAGTGCACATTTAAGAAGTCGTCATTTTATAATTTTGTTTTGTATTAACTAAGAGAAAGTGCATTTATTTTGTGTGAGTGATTTGGGTTGTGGAGAAACATCACTAAAGTAGAAAAGAAATCATAGGATACAATTAAGTTAAATTGCATAATGCCAAACATTTTATTCCCTAAATTGATCTTGACACAAGCATTATGCTTTGACTTCTATTTTTCTGACATTAATATATCGTCCCTAATTATTTGATGTATTGTTAACATTAAAATGTGTGTGTGGGGTATATGTATCTATATCTATATATAATTTTTTTTTAATTATGTGTAGTTTTTATCCTAATGTGCTTTGTTGCACTACTCATATGCTTTTCAATTGGCATTATGTTAAAATTAATGAATACTTTAAATAATTTATTGTCAAAACTGGGAAGCTGTCTTTCACATCAATGATTTCAAAGAGTCATGAAGCTTTCCCATATATGAGTTGATTTTATAAAGTTGATTTACCATGAGGTAAATATAAAGAAAAGAAATAGCTTCTATCATGTCAGTTTGTATCTACAATATGATAAGATGTTTAGAGGATAACTCACAATCACATCCTAAAGGATATTTGACCTTTCCAAACAATTGTTTTCCCTTGAAAAATGAATAAGAATAAACTGCACTGGAAGGGGAGTAGGAAGGACAGTGCCCAAAAGACAGAGGAGTACATGTCACAAAACTGAGATATTAGGGAATATCAAGTGGCAACAGGAGAGAACACCGAACTTGCCATTTTGAGCTGTCAGTATCCTAATTATGCTTCAGTTCTGAGAACATGTCTCCTTTCCTCTTAGAAGCTTCTCCTGAGACTCTGGTAAGTACATGAGCTCGTACGACACCCAGTGGACCTCTAAGATTCAGTAAGAGCAGGAGGATTGGTCTTTTAAGAATATCTTTATTAACATGTCCAATCTGTACTTCCTACTTTTCTCAAGATAAATCTTTTGACAGTTCTGTTTGAATTTCCTATCAGAGGCTCTTAAAATAGTCACTTTTATTAACAGAAGGTGGAATGTACATATTGACTCTGATAGAACACTGAACAAAATTCATTTAGTGGCAATAAATAGCTCTTTGTAGCATCAACTTTTGCAAACATGCCAAAGAGTCACTGTTAGTATGGGAGGAGCATACAAGCATGAGTACTGAGTACTAAATTATGATACAGTGTTTTACCATGTTCTCTTCTTTCACTTCTCTCATTTTTTGTTTTTAGTAAATTGCAATGGATTTGCAATTTTTCACAATTATATCATAGTGAGTTCTTACAAACTGAAGACATATTCTTCAGAAAGAGAAAATCCCCATTATCTCACACAATCAATTTATCTCTGGCTTCCTTCCAATTTCCCTGTCTCCTACTCAGCACTTGTTTTTATGTAATAGCACAGGTTAATTCATGTTTTGTGTATAAACAGCTTGCAGAATTAAGTCCAACTTTGCATATAGTTTTAAAAATTAAGTTTGTAAGATTTATCCATTGTAAGATTATTTACAGTCATTGTTATGTGAAATTTAATTGTAGGAAGGAATCAAAATTACCCAACTGACAGTATGGACATTTAAGTTATTTCTAGTTATAAATTACTAAAATACTATAGGTCATACTGTTCCAAACTTTTTAATTGGTGCTTTTGGAGACAACATGTAGGGAGTTTTGTTAGAAATGAAACTGATAGTCATACATATGTTGATACCAAAAATAGTTAAACTCTACAGTCTTACTAGCAGCAGGTGAAATTTCCAATGTTTCCATAACCTTACCAATACTATTTTTAGCTATTTTTTAAATTTTAGCTATTACTTTAGTGTGTATTGCTATGTGAAGATTTAATTTGTGTTTATTTTCTGTGACTATGTTTTTAGTGGAACTTTATTCCTCTTTTGTATAGTATGTTTAATTAATTCAACCCTTCCTATCCTTTTTTATTTTCAACATTATAGCATTCTATACATTTTTGATATACATTTTTGTCAGAGACATGCACTGTGAATATTTTCTAGGCTATAGCTTATCTTTTTCTTATGCTTTAAATACCTTTTCATTCATAAAATTTAATTTAATTGGATTCAATCTGCCATTTTTTTATGAGTATGTTTCCCTTTTTTAAAAATACTCTTGGTCTATTCAAAATATCAAAGGGAATGTGTATTTGCATTTCACATTTAGCTATAATAATATTCTAAAATTGACCTTTGTGTATGATATGCTTTATGGAATAAGATGTGTTTCTTTTCCCCTTTATATATCTCATTATTCTAGAAATACTTATAGTCTATAATGTTTCTTGTTATAAATTAGAAGACTTAATGTTGTCTCAAAGTGTGTTTCTGGACTCTGTATTTTTTATAAGTGTATTTTTATAAACACTTAGAAGGCTGTATAATTTGTTTTTTAGGTAGTACATAAATTATCTACAAGTTACCACTAGTAACTGGAAATGTAGGGTTGAAATCCATATGCTTCACTGAGCTAGTGCTCTTGTTGTCCTAACCTGGTCTTGGAGAAATTAAGAGGCCAAAATTTTCTCTAAAAATGAGAAAAACTACAAAAATCATTTTTAGACTCCAGTGTTCTGATAACTAACATCACCCTCACTGACAATGTTTGGGGTTTTGTTTTGCCACAGATACCACATAATCTCAGACGTTTACCTGAAAGTAGAACAGGGATTGGTAGAAAGAGCAGAAAATAAATGGTTTGCTGTTACCTATTCACCATAAGAAGGAATGTCAGCAGCACTCCAATCCTTGCTAGAAGTTTATCTGGAGTAAAATTTTGAGAGCATTTCTGTAAGTGCATCTATAGACCAGGCACATGAGAAGACCCAAATGAGGCATTATAAAAACGAGAATAAATAAAATATTATATTGAATCCTGAGACCCCCCAAAATCCACTGAACAAGAAATGATTTAATATTTCCAAAATGTTTAGTAAATTGGTAATAAAAAATCAGTGTCAGTAATTAAGAATAAGAATAAAAACCATCATATCTGTTGGCACTCATGAGGCAATCAGAGGACTTTTCTTTAGGATTACATCCCAAGGAGATGTATAAAATTACTATCAGTTAAGGTATCGCAACAAAAATCCTTTTACAAGTCACTGAAGAATTATATTTGATTATAAATACATGACGATAGGAACTTGCCTTTTTAAAATGTAATATACAGTCAGCATCTATGATAAGAACTTAGACTGCTGAATTAGAATTTGTTAAATGAATCCATGAATAAATAAACAACAAATAAATAAAAATATTACTCTCCGACTTTGAAAATGTGATTGTTTCATCAGTAAACTGAATTATGGATTTCTTTTTTAAAAAAGATTTATTTACTTATGCATTCAGAACTGGCGTACAGGCCAGAGTGCAGGAGCAATGAGAGGCTTCACCAGAGACAGAGTGGGGAGCAAAACAGATAGATCGACGAAGTACACTGCTGAGGGGAGCAGCGGGCGGGTCAGGAGAGGTTGCTGCATCATGTGGTCACCTCCGGGGCTGGTTGATCTCGCACTGAAGCTGCTGTGGCCAGCTAGCAGTGCTGCGTCCTAACCCGTTGAGCCACCAGGGAGGGCCTGGATTTCTCAAATATGGGAATTAGTGGAAGATAGTACCATATTTTCTCTTTTTCTTGTTCTAGGAAAACCTATGTAAAATTTCAGACTAACTGATCATGCAAATGCTAAACAAAACAGACCTCACCCCAACTTCATTTATTCTGAACGGAGTACCAGGACTGGAAGACATACAGGTGTGGATTTCCTTCCCATTTTGCTCCATGTATGTTGTGGCTGTGGTAGGGAACTGTGGACTCCTCTACCTCATCTGGCATGAGGACGCCCTGCACAAGCCCATGTACTACTTCTTGGCCATGCTTTCCCTAACTGACCTCGTCATGTGCTCTAGTTCCATCCCTAAAGCTCTTTGCATCTTCTGGTTTCATCTCAAGGAAATCAGCTTTGAAGAGTGCTTAGTCCAGATGTTCTTCATCCACACCTTCACAGGCATGGAGTCTGGGGTGCTCATGCTCATGGCCCTGGACCGCTATGTGGCCATCTGCTACCCTCTGCGCTACTCAACTATCCTCACCAACCCTGTTATTGCCAAGTCTGGCCTTTTCACGTTCCTGAGAGGAGTGTTGCTCATCATCCCCTTCACTTTCCTCACCAAACGACTGCCCTACTGCAGAGGTAATAAAATACATCACACCTATTGTGACCACATGTCTGTAGCCAAGTTATCCTGTGGAAATATCAAGGCCAATGCCATCTATGGTCTAACGATTGCCCTTCTGATTGGGGGCTTTGACATCCTGTGTATCACAGTCTCCTACACCATGATTCTCCGGGTAGTGGTCAACCTTTCCTCTGCAGATGCCCGGCAGAAGGCCTTCAGCACTTGTACTGCCCACATCTGTGCCATTGTTTTATCCTATAGCCCAGCTTTCTTTTCCTTTTTCTCCCATCGCTTTGGAGGCCACTCAATCCCTCCATCTTGCCACATCATCATGGCCAATATTTATCTTCTCTTGCCTCCCACTATGAATCCTATTGTCTATGGAATGAAAACCAAGCAGATACGAGACTGTGTCATCAGGATCCTTTCAGGTTCTAAGGATTCCAAATCCCATAGCATATGAGTGGACATTTTCCAGGAGAGAGGAGATGAGGCAAAGATTGCTTCTACATAGCTGTTAAACTGGAACCAATAGTTCTAGAAGTATTATTCTGACCTCAGAAATGAAGTTTGTTGAATGGTATATGTCTAAGCATGTGTTTTGAGAATTTCAATACCATTAGCATTAGCTACCAATTTTTCTATGAGTTTCCTTCCTTTTTTTTAAGTTTCCTTCCTTTTAAATATGGTGGCAGAATAATTTAAAATAAACCTATTCGCCCAAATAAATTATTATTAGCCTAAATAAACATACTTGTTTATTTTAATTAAAAAAATGGAGTTTATCCTACTTCCAAGTAGTGATTGTAATTTCCAGGTTGAAAGTTCATTGTTACTCACCCCTGGACTATATAAGTACACATATTTTACACAACTATATAAGTACACAACTGATAACTAAGAAGTTCTTGAAAATATACTTGACATCACTAATCATTAAAGCATTTGAGTCAAAACCACAGTGAGATACCAGTTCACACTCACTCTAATGGCTAAATGTAAATTAAATAGCAGAAAATAACAAGTGTTTACAATGAGCTGAAGACACTGTTATTGTTGCACATTGCAGATAGAAGTATAAATGCGCACACTCTTCATGAAAGACAGTGTGGTGAAAAGTTGAAACAGAACTACTATATGGGCAAATAATGTCAGCCCTAGTTCTACATAAAAAGAATTAAATATGTCTTTTCCAGCAAGATTTTTGCACAAATGTTCAGGGTAGCACTATTAGCCAAAAAGTGGAAAAACTTAAATGCTTGTTAACTACAGAATGGATAAACCAGATGAGTATGAGAAGCCCCACAATCTGCCTAGTAGCTAAAGAAGCAGGAAAATCAAGTGTAAAAGCCTGAAAACCAGTGGTAGCCACTGGTGCAAATGCAAGCCTGAGAGCAAGGACTGATATATGGGATATTGGCTACCCACAGTGAAGAGGAACACCTTGTATTATTGAGCCCACCAATTCAAATGTCAATCTCATCTGAAAACATCCCATTATAATTTAGCTGAACTGCCATTTGTTAAGAAAAACCTTGGGGTGTCAGATGATAAGTCCCTGTTGATAAAAAAAAAAAAGACGGCCCTCCCTGGTGGCGCAGTGGGTTAAAGCACAGCACTAAGAAGCTAAAGCCACTTCCGCATGAGTTCGATTCCCGCCTGCCCCAGAGGAGATCCACATGGTGAGGCAGACCTCTCCTGACCCGCCCGCTGCTTCCCTCAGCAGTGTACTTCATCGATCTGCCTGTTCTGCTCCCCACTCTGTCTTTGGTGAAGCCTCTCGCCGCCCCTGAGCGTCTGGCCTGTACCCCACTTCTGTATAAAAAAAAAAAAAAAAAAAAAAAGACAAGGAAAATAAAACAGGAATTTGTGGCTCACAGGTCCTACAGGAAATACATAGCACATTTTGAGGGGCCACTTGGGGAAGTCAAGATGGTACAGGCAGAGAGAGAAGCAATACTAGGTGCAGGCCTCTAGTATGGTCCATGGGTGGAATTTGAACCAAAAGGACTGAGGTATTGGCTAGCAACACAGGCGTCTTTTCTAAGAAATGCATAAGAACAAGGTCTTGGGTAATGGCAGAGACTGTTAATAACAAGGACTACTGGAAAAGTCATCATGAACAACTTAAATTTACTGTGACTCTACAAGCTGTTATAGGACAATTCTTGCATTAAGGGGTTATTGGCAATTTAAGGTCTCCATTGACAGAACACATGAATTGAGCAGCAGTGATTCCATGCAGTAGCTTAAACTTTCAAGATACCCTCAGAGAATCACCTAGAAATAATTTGTAAACTAGGTACACCATGGCACTCAAGTTGACACATAAAATTAAACATCACAATGAAACATACCCAAAAAGTGGATCATTACTAGTTAGCAAAAAGAAATCAAAGCTCCATAGCTGAAACAATATCAATGAATTTTGAAACATTCTAAAGGAGAAAGGTCAGACACAAAAAAATACGTATTATAAGTACTTTTAAGTTGGTGTTTTAAGATTCCAGCTGTAGTACCAAAAGAGAATGCAGGTTACTATTTGCCAAGAGGTGGGGTAGGAGGAGGCAATCAATGTGATTCTTTTTTTTTTTCTTTAAGATTTATTTATTTATACATACAGAACTGGTGTATAGGCCAAGGTGCAGAAGCAGTGAGAGGATTCACCAGAGACAGAGGAGGGAGCAGAACAGGCAGATTGACCAAAACAGATTCCTGAAAGGAGCTGTGGGTGAGACAGGAGAGGTCTGCTGTGCCATGTGTGTCACCTCCCTGGCCAGGGATAGAACTCCTATTGAAGTGGCTGTGGCTATGTAATGCTGCAAACTTTAAGCCATAGCACCATCAGGGAGGGCCCTAAATATATATGTATATATATATATTTGCTTTCCAGAATGGACTTTTTTTAACTTAATTTTTGTTTTTCTTTCTTTTTTTATTATATTTTTAATTTTATATCAGTCTTCATTTTGTGCATTTTTTTCATCTCAGTTGTAATCCCCATGGGTTTCCCACCACCAATTCACCTGTGTGCCATCATGGTAGTCCAGTGCACTCTTCCCATCTCAGTTAGGGAGGGCCCTAATTTTATTTTATTGTTACAAATGAAAATATATAGGTATTATTTTTATTATCTAATTAAATAAATGTAAAATTGAAATAAGCTTTGTTTTATTATTGCTGCTATTATCATTATCATCATCATAGTATGGCTTAGAAATCTAATTATCTCTAACTTAATATATTCATATGCCATGTATATATGATAAAATTGAACTTTTGATGATTTTCTAGAATAACATAATATTCACCCTCTAACTCAGTTTAAAGTGCTTTTTGAAAACAAGGCTCCATGTAATCTGATCATATTTGTGTAATAGGTCCTAAAATAATTTGGGGAGTCCAATATACTCAATGATATTATTTAGGGACATTAAAAAAAACAGTGAATGAAAGAAAAATGACACAGGTATGAATGACTCAACCATTTTATACTTAAGAGCTTTGAACATGTGTCTTTCTATGTCTTTACATAGAAAGAATTAATATGTGATAAATACCAAAATCACTCATTTTCATTAAAATTAACTTGTGTTTATTTTAATGCATCTACATTAAATACATGCTCCTGCACAAAAACAAGCATGTAGCTACATACATATAAAACTCAAATATCTCCATACAGCAATAAGAATGGAACACTTCCCTTCTTTTGCACCCATTGAAATTAACTTGATCAAGACGACAGCTCCTGTTCCACTAACATTCTGAAATGCACCCCTGAGATATGAAAGACACTCATTTCTCTTAAATCCCCAGTTCAGTAGCCCAGATACCAGGGGATTTAGAAGCTGAGGACTATGTATACAGTATATATATGTGTGTGTACATATATATATATATATTGTAGAATTGCGATGTTTGGGACCGAATCCTGATCACGTGAAGCAGATTTCTTTCAACTGAATGTTTTATTTTCCCAAACCTAAGGTATTATGGGGCATAAAATGTGGGGCTTAGTGATAAAATTTGTTTCTCATTAGACCTTGAGGGAGAGTGGATAGAGGTTTTGATAACCTAAAGAAGACTTACTATATTCTCAGAAATACAGATTTCAGGCCATTAACTAGAAGTGCTGTGGGAGATTGGAGACTGGAAGATGTTTATTTCCCCAATTATTATAATTTCAACTAACTTTACAAGATGATTCTGGATGTGTATGTTATTTCTGAAACCAAACAAAAATCATTAGTGGCAATCAAATACCAATCACTTCCATCACAAGAAGAAAGAGAGAGATAACAAGAAAGTAGTTCTTGATTGTTGCCAGAACACTTCTTCCACCTTATTTGCCCTCGGTTGCTCAGAATGAGAATCCAATCTTTCTGGTTTATTTCTAGAGAGACTTACTTCTGACTGCCTTTCATCCATTGTATATAACATGTGGAAAGATGATGGGCATTAAAAATTGAAAACCAGGAGGTGAGAAACAAACTTACTGTATATGGGTTTAGAAAATGGAAATATATAGCAGATTATATCAACATTGTGCCTTTTAAATGATGATATTCTTGTGCCATGTCCCCATTCCTATACACTTGTCATTACTCACATTAGACAATTTCTATGCAAGAAAATTTGAATTATGATGCATTTAAGTCATTTAAACTTTTTTTTGAAAATGTCTTATTTTGTGATTAAAACTGCATTACATTGGTGCAAACATGGATCTCTAATCATGGTCACAAATGCAATGAAGACAGGATCTAAGTGTATTATTTAACAAAAAGTCATTAAGTTCAAATGTATTTAGAAGGAGAAATGTGTAGTGATACTGTATTTTCAGCAACTCATGACAATTGAGTAAATTATGCCAAACATTTATCAAAAATTATCTTCAATGTTGACTTATCTCAATAATTTTGTACAGGTAGCCTTAGGAACATATATACATTTACAATTTTCATGTCTTTTAATAATATCTATGAAATTAATCTTAACAATAAAATTCTGTCTTCAATGATAGAGTATATACTTACATACTAAACAGAAAGAAATGTGGTAACCATGAAAACTGAATTCTTATATTGTACATCCATAGTATCATTTTTCATGATTGTTTAATTTATGATTCTAGTGATTTATGAAGTAGATATTGTAGTTTTATTTCTTCTTATGGTTTCTCTGTGCTTTCTATATAGTAGAATTTAAATCACAGTATTTAATTTAATGATACTTAAAGGCAAGAATAAGACATGATTCATTCACCCAAAAATATTTATTTACATCAAACATATATTAAGTGTCTTGCTGTATACCACAGTTATAAAATGCAGTCTGTCCTATGTAGTAATGGTTTCCTTAAATGTGATAATTCAACAACATAATATTTCAATACCATAATGTTAAAATAGTGAAATAAATTGATTTCATAAATAATCTATTCTTTAAATATAAGCCTAGAAAATTGTAAATTATATTATGAGACTTTAGAGATTGGCACTCTATCATGTATAAGAGTTGAGTCTTCCTGAGAAATGTTATCCCAGAGGCTATTTTGGGAGCACAAAAATAAGGAAAGTTTGAAAGTCATGAAGCTAAAACTCTTAATCTGATTTGAATAAGAAATAGCAACACAAGAGAAAACTGGCTGTCCTCGTTGGCCTAATAACCTAAATATAATTCAGAACAGTTACCCACTCTTAGGAATTTTTCCTGACATGACTCAAAGTTTACTTATGTGTCATTCTGTCTGCTCCTGTATGAATTTAAAATTATAGTAGGCAAGAAGATATCTTTGAGAAGTACAATTATGAACATGATTATCATAGATTGCTTTGTTATTTTCAAGTTTTTTCTCACAATTGATATTTTGATAATTTAATGATTTTATATAGCTTATTTCATATTGTGTTTTATCATGTCTTATAAACAAGCATTTCACATGTAAAGTAAGACCTCTTCATAAACACATTTTTAATGACTAAGCAATCTTCAACAACATATTATGATTTCCTCATTGTTGAACATGTTGGTTTGTTCTATAAAAATTTATTGGAAAGTACCAGAAACTGTAGTAAACACTAATGTTATAATGAGCACAAGTAAGTATAATCACTGCTTTCATACAAAACACAACCTATCAGTGATAAATATGATGAAACTATCAGACATAAACTGAGATTCTAATTTATATTAACTCCTTATAATATAACCGTGAAAGTGTGTTTTGCAGTATTTTGTCTGTCATATTTAGATGCCAATATTGATATATGAAATAAAAACAGAACCATAGTAGAAAAACTGGAGTTAAGTATCAACTAAATATCTTTATTTCATCCACTATCATAAAATTGTTAACTGCCCTATAAGGACTGGAAGTATATTCTGGGAAGAAACCTTAGCTAACAATATGAATGCACATGTATCAGTTGTGATGAAGCAAGAGTGAGGTTTGAATCCAATATTCAAATTTAAATGTAATATCCTCAGTACCCTTTTCTATAACTAAACTCCAAGAAACTGGCTACCAGCCATAAAATTCTCTTAAATGTCATTAGTAGCCACTTTTCAGGAAAAATTAAAAATCCCAAGAAAAAACTGTAAATGCTAGTAACTAAGAATCTCTCCGATTAAGCAGAGGTCCTTATTTAAATTCTCTAAGTAAATCCTACCAACTGATGAGGTTTAGTCATCACCTTGAGTTTCAAATCATCTTCTTATAACCTCTTCCTTAACTGTAAATTAATGATTAAGGATTGTCAGATATTTTAGAAGCTTCTTCACAGTGGAAAAAATAAAAAGCTATAAAAATAAATATAGAAGGTTAGAGGAACAGAAACACTGTATATGAAATAGTGGTTAATCGATGAACATAACTGTCAAAGTCATGTTATAACTGTCAGAATCAGAAGATTTAGAGGAAAAATGGATCACAGAAGTTTGTATTTTAAAAAATTATCAAGCGGCCCTCCCTGGTGGCGCAGCGGGTTAAGGCACAGCACTGAGAATCTAAAGCCGCTTCTGCATGAGTTCGATTCCCACCTGTCCGGGAGGTGACCACATGGCGTGGCAGACCTCTCCTGACCCGCCCACTGCTTCCCTCAGCAGTGTACTTCATCGATCTGCCTGTTCTGCTCCCCCTCTGTCTCTGGTGAAGCCTCTCACGGCCCCTGAGCCTCTGGCCTGTACCCCAGTTCTGTATGCAAAAATAAATAAATCTTTAAAAAAAAAATTATCAAGCTATCTGAAATGAGTGTTTTTTTCTGTAAAGTTAATTTAGAAAGTTGAAAGGGCTAATATAGGAAATATTTAAAGAAGAAAGGAAGAAAAAAATCTAAGCAAACCAATATATGACTAAAAGTAAATATAATAAACTAGCAAGGACATCATTGGAAAGAAAATATCATATTTTAACACAGGAAAATTTCTAAAACCAAAGAACCAAGATGTCCAGCCTCAAAAACCCAGCAAATGCTGGGCCATTACCATTACCATCACCATTTGTTAATTCATTAATTTATCAATCTATTCAATAAGTACAGGTTTTACACTGTTATGTTCTAGATTCTATCACTGATATTTTGCTACATTATTTTAAAACAAAAGGACATAGATTTATTTATAATCAACAGCAACTATGCTATGATTACCATCATCACAATAAATTTAAAAGCATTGAAGCTTTAAAATGTTGTTCAATGTTTGAGTAAAAAGAAACAAAGTAAAGGAAGAACAGCTCATGTAAAATGTGTCAAAATCAGAATGGTTTCCCCTACATCCACCCACAGGTAAGAAACTGAAATGCCTTTGGAGTTCAGATATGAGGAAACCTCATCTTCATATACCCTCCATTTATTCATTTGTAAAATACAAGTTAATAAAAACAATTCCTGGGCTTGATGTGATGTTAAATGAGTTAACATTATAACATTCTTCAACTGTAACATATATGTAGATACAGATAACACAACTGAGGGTTTTTTATTTCTATTTTTTTCAACTCTAGGAGGGTCAAAAACAAAAACAAAACAGAAATACAACTTAAACTTTAGAGTCTAAAAGCCTCTTAATGATTTTACCTGCCTAGTGGTGAGAATGCTGAACCAAACAGATGTGAATCCAGACTTATTCATCCTTAATGGGATCCCAGGCTTGGAGGATGTTCACCTTTGGATTTCCTTCCCATTTTGCTCCATGTATGTTGTGGCTGTGGTAGGGAATTGTGGACTCCTCTACCTCATCTGGCAAGAGGACGCCCTGCACAGGTCCATGTACTACTTCTTGGCCATGCTTTCCCTAACTGACCTCGTCATGTGCTCTAGTTCCATCCCTAAAGCTCTTTGCATCTTCTGGTTTCATCTCAAGGAAATCAGCTTTGAAGAGTGCCTAGTCCAGATGTTCTTCATCCACACCTTCACAGGCATGGAGTCTGGGGTGCTCATGCTCATGGCCCTGGACCGCTATGTGGCCATCTGCTACCCTCTGCGCTACTCAACTATCCTCACTAACCCTGTCATTGTCAAGGCTGGCCTTGCCACTTTCCTGAGAGTGGTATTGCTTGTCACCCCTTTGATTTTTATCATTAGAAGACTCCCTTACTGTCGAGGTAATATAATACACCACACCTACTGTGACCAGCTCTCTGTAGCCAAGATATCTTGTGGAAATATCAAGGTAAACATTATCTACGGTCTAACGATTGCCCTTCTGATTGGGGGCTTTGACATTCTGTGTATCACAGTCTCCTACACCATGATTCTCCGGGCAGTGGTCAACCTCTCCTCTGCAGATGCCCGGCAGAAGGCCTTCAGCACCTGCACTGCCCACATCTGTGCCATTGTTTTCTCCTATAGCCCAGCTTTCTTCTGTTTCTTTTTCAACCGCTTTGGAGGCCACTCAATCCCTCCATCTTGCCACATCATTGTGGCCAATATTTATCTTCTCTTGCCTCCCACTATGAATCCTATTGTCTATGGAGTGAAAACCAAACAGATACGTGATTGCGTCTTACGAATGCTTTCTGGTTCAAAATCCCATAGCACATGACAGGAATAATTTCCAGGGAAGAAATGGAAAGGAAAGAAAAAAGTAATATTTCTGTTGACTATTTTGTAAGAGTCTAAGGATGCTTATTCTTTTAAGTTTAACAAAAGATTCACCACGAGTCTGCATCATGATGCAACACTAGGAGTGCCACTGTACACCTCCTTAAGTGTACATAATTTGCTCACCCACCACCAATTCTTGGTTGGAATGTAATTTGGTGCCACTCTAGAAAATGTCATGAAGATTCCTCAAAAAAAAACAAACAAATGGAAGTACCATACAATGCAGAAATACTACTGTAAGATATTTGCTGTAGGCAAATATGAAAAGATTTATGTATTCCTAAATCCACAGCACATTGTTCAGAATCAAGTAATGATGCTTTTTCAAGAGTCTTATTTTTACTGATGACTAGTGCATTCAATGTCTTCAGATTCCCCAATCATTGACATGCCCCTATCTGAAATCTCTGTAGATTTCCTTATAATCTACTCATTTCTATGGAACAAGTTGACACAAGTCTTGTTGATACAAGTTCCCAGAATAAAACCATAATCAAAAATAGAGTAAATAATCAAAATAAGTGAACAAACCAGAAAGAAATTTTCTGCTGTCATATGTTCACTTGTTTGTTTTCTTATTCCAAATAGTGATTGAAATTTTCAGCCTGAAAGACAATTGTTGCTTTTCTCTGGAAAACATGGTTCTCTTTTTCTCATTATTGCCAAAAATTTCTCTAGTTTCTCAGTAGCATCTTCTTTGTGGAGATGCTAATGAATACCCCATGAAGTTATTAATGTAATTAGGTTTCAGTCTCAGGTTGTAATTTGCAGATAAATTAGTCCTCTGGCCATGTTTTCTTTAGAGATATGCTATTTAGTCAAAAGAAATTGTATAAATAGTAAAGGATCTAGAATGAAGAAAAACAGTGTGCAATAAGTTAAAGATAAGGACCTTTTCTCATTTTCAGTTTTCTAAGTCATGTTTTACTATTGAATGAGCACAAATATAATTGCTGATATAGCTCTAAATGTATGTTGTAGGAATATTTAAGAGAATTGCAAATGAGATAGAGTGAAAAGATATATAGGAATTATGGATATAGGTAAGATTTTCATTCATCATTCATACTGGTAGATTAATGACATCAGGAGACTTCAGTAAGTTATGGGTATAGCACAACTACGGAAGGATCTATGCAAAGAAATACACTGCAAAAACACTATAAATAGATCGAAATGAAAAAAAAATTTATGTTTAGGAACTACAAGGTAGCAGAGGAAAAAAAAAAGAGACCATAAGCAGAAAGGAAAAATTAAAATGTCAGTTTTAAGTCCTAACATATCAATAGAATATTAATTATAAATGGTTTACATATATCAATAAAACCAGTAGTGACTTTAAAAATTATTCAATTCTGCTGTCTATAAATATCTCCTACTAAATAGAAATTATATATCTCAATTTTAACTAAAATGAAGGGCCAAATTATATCAACATTTGTCAAAAGAAAGAAAAGCGGTTGCATTAATAATAGATAAAATAGACTACAGAGTAAAGAAAGACCACAATGGAGGCATGCATGATACATGATAGAGGGTTGATTCACAAACCATAAATATAAATCTACCAACAAAAACCAGAATTTAGAAACAAAAAAGACTCAACTATTCTGAATAGAAAAATAGACATATCTGCAGTTAAATGTCAACATGCTTCTCAACAACTGATAGTCAGCTACACAGAAAACGAGCAAAGATATGGTGTTAACTTAATAACACTGTCAATCACAGAATTCTAAAAGCCTTTAAAGACCAATACTCTGAGAAAACACATTCTTTTTCAATACCTGTGAAACATAGGTCAAGAAAGGCCTATCATGAGTCATAACATTTTAAAAAATAATTGAAAACATACACTGCTTATTTTCTAGCTACAGTAGAATCAGACAGTAAAGCAATAATGAAAAGAAAAGAGGAAAATCTGCAAACACTTGAAAACTAAGCAAGATGCTTTTAAATAATCCATGAATCAAAGAGCAAGTCTTAAAAGAAATAAAAGATAAATTGACTGAACAAAAATATCTGAAAAATTCTGGAATACACTAAAGTATTGCTGAAAGAGTAATTTAGAGATTTGACTATATGCATTAGAAGAGAAAGAAAGTCTCCAAGCAATAATGTAAACTCCTACTTCAGAAATCATGTGAAAAAATGAGAAAACAAATGCAAACCTAGTAAAAGAAGGAAATAATAAAGAATAGGGCAGAAATTTATGAAACTGGTTATGTAAAAATAAAGAGAAAACCTGACCAGGAGCTGACTCTCATGGCACAGCAGACCTCTCCTGTCTCACTCACCGCTCCCCTCAGCAGTGTATTTCAGTAGATCTGCTTGTTCTGTTCCCAACTCTGTCTCTGGTAAATCCTTTTACCCTCCACACTTCTGGCCCATACATCAGTTCTTATATGCATAAATAAATAAATAAAATCTTTAAAAGAATACTATGAACAACTCTAAGCAACTAAATTTGACTAATATTGCTTTAGCAACAGGTTTAGTTAATATGTCCTGAAGATTTAGATAAAGTTTTGATCATCTATTTACATTACATTTCTCTGTGACGCTTACCAAGGAAAGCACATGTTCTTTTAAATTTGGCTATTTCACTAGGTTGACCCCTATGGGTATGAACACTCCTGGCTATGCTTATAATCAGTTTTATGTTTATTTTGTAATATGTATTTAAGTTTATTCCTAGGTTTTTATTCATTCTTCTTGATGTGTTTGTAAATGATATATTTAATCATATGATTTAAATATTCTTACATAAGTTGAAAATTTCAGAATTTATGTTTTAATATGGTATTGTTCAAACTTTTCAAAAACATATATAGAAAGTATATGTGAAGCATATGTAGTTGTTTAACCCTTTTATTTAAGAGTTCAATTACACCTTCAAACTTCATTTTTATTTTTAAAGTACTACAAATATACAGATATCATATTTATTATGTAATAAAGGACTATACAACTAGATTTGCTAATTGTTTTTTATTATTATTGCTATTATCACCACTCTCATTAGCTCAAAATTTGGGGCTTAAATACCCTAACAATATATATGCAAAAAGAAACTTGAACATTTGATGAAATTCTACAATATCTTAATATTCATCATCCTCACATGAAAAAACAAATAACCAAATAAAGGAATATATGAATGAATGTTTTTGATAGTAATTAAACATTATGAAGCTTTATAAATACTTTTAACTTTTGTCCTCGAAGAAAGGACACAGGAAGTAGCCAAGCTCTTCAATAAAGTGTCCTAACTGCTAATGTTTATTAAACATTGCGGTGCTCATTCTCATCTCTACATATACTTGCTCTCATGCAAAGACACAGACATAGATAACATTTATATAAATTTTTTCTATTAAATATGTCTCTGATAGGTGATAAGAATGAGCTACCTCTCATTATTCTTCCTCCACAGGGACTAACTTGCTTACACACCTAAACCTGTGTCTTTAACGGTGTGCAATATTCCCTTGGGATACATAACACATGCACTTTTCATTAAAGATCTGTTCAGTAGTACAGACATTGAGGGATTTAGAGATTGGAAGCTATGTAAGTGTGCATATGTATAAATTTATATATAGTTGCATTATGATTTTTGGAGGGGAACAAAACCCAGAATACCTAGACTCCATTCTATGCTGCTCACTGTTTTGAATGAAGAAACTCAGGTATTAAAGATATAAAAAGTGGGTTTTCATGGTTAGTTTTAGTAGTAACCTAAATTGGAGTGAGATTTTGAGTGTGTATGAATTGGTTATTGTGTTCTTAGAAACTCATACTCGATTTTGCACAGTTGAAAATGTGTTAGGAAATTTGCTTGTAAATGTTTATTTTTCCTATTTTCACATCACAGTGTAACTTTCCATCACTATCAGGAATGTCTATGTTTCCTGCCTAAACAAATAGGTGTCACTGGTTCTGCTACAGCAGCAGTCAGGTATGAGCTACCCCCAACACAGCAACCAGTGGAGGACAGTCGGCTTAGAACTGTTGATCACGCTAAGGATGCTTGCTCGCTTTATTTATAGAAAGACTTCTTTGTGACTGTCTCATCCACGTTAGTGAGCAGAGCCTATGTGGAGGAGTGCTAAATCAAACTAAGCATGATAAAATTTAGGACAATTTAGTGAAGAATCTCACTATCTACTGGGTTTCCGAATGAGAATAGATAAGAGATCACATTAAAATATACTTTATAAGGAATAATATTTGTATGCTGTTACTACTTTAATGTACCTGCCCACCATATCAAGAGTCTATTTCCTTGCAGAACTCATGTTATATTGCATTGGCCTCATTTAAATTTGGTTAGAAAAAAATCTAATATATTTTATGGTTAATATTATGTCATTTGGCATAAGATTGTATCTTTTACAGAGAGTTTTGCAAATGTATTTAAGATGGGCTTACATTTTTCATATAACAATAAAACCTGGTTTAGGAATGAATATTAGAACTATCAAAAGGAAAAGTAAGGGACATAAATAGACTATTTATATCATATGTATGAAATATATTGAGAGCACAAATAGAGATTTTTTCCTATTCGTAATTTATGAATATTATGCTTTCCTTAATTATTCTACTTTTTTCTTTTACATGGACACACAGAATAAAGTGTTTACTGTTCAAATGTACTGAGAGAGAGAGAAACGGGCAATGACCTTTTTTTTTTTTTTTTTCAAAAACCTTGACAATTTGTAAACACTAGTGCATCCATATTTATTTCAGTCTCATATATAATTACATATGTATGTGTAAATTTATGTTTACACATATTTATAAAAATTGTTAGTTTTTTTCTTAGTGATCAATTTAATGTGAAAAATATAATGCTACATGTAAAGATTAAGTAGACATTTAACAGCCTGACAGAAAGAAACTTGATAATTTTGTTACATAAGGAAAACCATG